GATTTGTTTGGCCCTCTTTAGGTTTGGGCATATGGTGTTCCTAGATAAAGTTAGGATTATATGGAAACAGAAGACAGAAACAGAGGGAAATAAGGCCAATCCAAAGGAAGAAATCTTTCTGGGTGCTTGAAGTAGAGAGTGAATGGGTAGAAGAGACTGTTGCTGAAGATAATGCACTTTGCAAGAAGTTCAAACTGGAAAATAACCAGACTATTTCCTGAACAAGGGAGAATAGATGATGGGAATGTCACCATAGGAATATCTCCATAGGAAGGAAGGAAATGAAAGATGAGTAGGAATTTGGTGTCTCAAGAATGGGTCTGACACTGGATTTGTCATCACAAATGTGTGGCAGTGGTTTTGTTCAGTGTGATTGCTGTGAGACCAGTTTACTGAGCAGTCTCGACTTACTGGGATATAAGGTTGAAAAACACTACAGTTTATAGTAGTACAATAAATTGTGTTCAGTTGTGTTTCCCCTAATGTTTGTGCAGTAATTTTTCTTAGTGCTATCTCTGCCAACTCCATTACTATTACTATATTCAAATTACCTTGGTTTGATAGTTAAGAACCTAGCCCTGCTCATTTTTGAAAACTTGTATTATTTGAGCTAACCCTCCTCTTTCCCTTCCTCTGATTAGTAAGACTTATGTCTCCAGTGGCTTGAAATGGAAGACAGGGAATTTATGGCCTTAAATAATTGGGTCTCCCTTTTCCGAGTGCTTTTCTACTTTGGTCTTGAGCTGGAGGAGTAGGGGAGATCAGTGGATCCTCATGACCCTGGCCTGTTGTAGGGTGGTTCCAGGCCTCTCTCAGGGTAGTAGATACCTGAAAGCTGTTTCTCTATTAGGTTTTTTAGATGATGCAACAAGGCTCTTCTCTCTGCATGATTTCTTGGCATGGGAGAACCTGGCCACTGTCTACGATTCTGTTCAGTCAGTTAGAAATTCTGCACCAACTGTATCAAATATGCATGATATCTTTAAAGTTTGAAAGTAGTCCCACTGGCAAATGTCTTCCCCACCTTCTCTCTCCTAACCATTTCTTTAATCTCAGCAGAATCAAGAACACTTCTCTCCCAATTGTTCAGCAATATTTGTGTAAGAAGATTACTGTCTTTTGAATTTTGTGCCCCCCTGAGATTTACTTTTTACTTGGTTGCATTTTGCCGAGTCCTCTTCTTATATTGGGAGGTGTGTAGGTGGTAGGATTGGTGCATGGTGATAGCATAACTTTGACTTACCTAGCACCTCATCTTGAAGAAATGTGACTGGAAACATTCCAAGTTTGGAATCTGGGATACATAGTACCTTTTGTGTTTAGTGTGGGCCTGCATAGTTAATTTTAGGAAAATGGGATCCTGATAGTTATTACATACATACTGTCTTGTTCCATGATAAGGATCATATCAAGGGCAAAAACTGTGTACTCCTGGGGGATATGAATATGATAGAAAGTCAGTGTTGTGAATGGATGACAATTTTACTGCATATTGGCTCAATGAATGTCAAAGGAGATATAATATGAATGAAACTTCAGACTACTTTTAAAACATTTATTTATATCGTGATTTATTTAATATTTCTAGTAGACTCTAACCTCTATGAGAATGAGACTGCTTTCCTTCTTTCTACTAAAAATTCTGTTCACAACATCTACCTGTACAGCATTGTTAAATAGTAGTGGCTTAATAGCCTGCTTGCCGGATGGCTAAGCTCCCTGAGCTTCAGAGACAGCAGCGGAAAGCTTCTTAACATGAGAGCTGTCAGGAATTGAGCACTAACTGTATGTAGGCACAGGGCCAGCACCTGTTATTACATAATGGGATTCACATAACACTTGGAGGCAGTTACTATAATCCCAACTTTCAAGTGGAGAAAAATGAGGGTTAATCTCTTTGGGCATTATACCACATACATAGTTATTAAAAAATAAACTATAGAGAGAGTTTAAAATATTGTACACATATTATCTAACCACATGTTACTTCCTTTTTCTACTCCTGTCTTCTTCACAATCAGGATTCTTGAAATAATTGTGTTTATACACTTTCTTTTTCTACGCACACACTGTATTTTCTTTATTAAAATTGCTTTTATTAAGGTCTTAACAGCTCTGTGTTGCTAAAGTTCAATAGCCACATTTAAGCATTAATGAAAAGGATTGCTCCCTTTTCATGAATCATTCTTTGTTTTCTTACCGTAACCTCACACTCTTAGTTTTTCACTTTTGTCTTCAAAGATACCCTCAAAGAATGCTTTTTTTTTTTCCTTTTCAGTTTCTCCATTTCCATTCAACTTTAAAAATATGTTTGTTTATCATTGGAAGATTGGAGAGAATGGCATCTTGGATTCAGTTTAAGTTATTTTTACTTGGGTTCATTATTAAAGCAGCAAACAAACAGTTTTTAAAAAGTTGTAAGATATGGATTTAAGTGGAAGTGGGCATAATGCCACGTGTCCCAGGTTTCTTATGGGGTAGGCCGGGGGTTTGTGTAGTCACTACATCCAATATGGATGGAGTAATCTACCAGGTAACAGGGGCTCAGAGATTCCAGCTTGCTGTCTTTTTTGTTTTTAGATTAACGGTAGGGCCCATTTACTACCACATAAGGGGATTCCTTTTTTTTTTTTTTTTTTAAAGATTTATTTATTTATTTATATAAGCACTGGGTACAGTCAGAAGTGCGTGAGGGTGAGAGAATTCACCAGAGCCAGAGCAGGGTGCAGAACAGGCAAAAGGACCGAAGTACACTGCTGAGGGGAGCAGTGGGTGGCAGGAGAGGTCTGCGCCATGTGGGGCCCTTGCCAGCTTCGCAACCCAGCGCTTAACCGCTGAGCCACCGGGGAGGCTCTTAAGGGGATTCCTTTTATGCCACAAGTCACCATTGCAAACTCCCATGTTTGAGTTGATTTAACTGAGGCAACTTGGATAAACTAAAACTACTTCTCCCAGAAACTTTGCATTAGGGTTAGAGTTGATCAAAAAAGATATTTGTTGACATTTGAAAGGCAGAAGTAAAAATGTAGTCATAATTGCTAAAAATGAAGTGATAGGAAGCTGAAGAAATAGATACAAAGAGACTGGCATCCTTATTCTTCTCCATGTCTACTCCATATCCACCTCTCCTTCCCGAATGCTGGTCTTGCCCTCTTTTAGTGAACCAGACCTACATAAGATGCTTGGCAACAAGCTCACAGAGAGGGTAGCTATGCAGAAACAAGTTTTCCACAAACTTCTACACCAGCCCCCTTCACTCATGTCTCACTCCAGTTCCTGGTCTAACACCTACCACCCAAATACCATCATCAAATCAGTGCTTCAAAGAGGCTTGGTAGTAACTTTTTCTGATCCCCCAATTCCTTTCTTCAGTTTTTTACTTCTCAGATTAACTCTTATAAAAATTTCCCTGTTAGGGCCTCCGCGGTGGCGCAGCGGTTGAGCGCTGGGTTGCGAAGCTGCCCGCGGCCTCTGCAGCGCCGGTTCGATCCCCGGCTGCTCCCCGGCCACCAGAGGAGGGTCCCACATGGCGCGCAGACCTCTCCTGCCGCCCGCTGCTCCCCTCAGCAGTGTACTTCGGTCCTTCTGCCTGCTCTGCTCTCCACTCTGGCTCTGGTGAATTCTCTCACCCTCCCGCGCTTCTGACTGTACCCAGTGCATGTATAAACAAACAAACAAACAAACGAATAAATAAATAAATAAAAACATGCCTCTAAAAAAAAAAAATTTCCCTGTTAGAATTCTGACTAATGTCAATTATTTCAGTAATCTAGTGTCAAACTAATTATAATCACTTAAAATTACAACCATTTTATTTTCTCCATGGTTCAACTGGTTGATTGGATTAAATGGGAAGTTCCTTTGTTGGTCATGGTTGGAGTCTCCCAAGTGCAGATGGAATATCTTTAGTTTTGTCTGGGAAGCTGAGACAGACGTCTTTCATTCTCCTTGGAGTTTCAGAATCTCTCTGGTAGCCTCTGCATCACTATAGCTCAATTTTTTTGATAGAAGCTCAGAGTTCCCAAGACCCCAAATGGAAGCTGTCATCATTTCTGCTACCCCCTACTGATTAAAGCAAGTCATGAGATTAGTCCAGATCCCATGTGGGATTGTAAAACCACATTGTATAGTAATAACAATATAATAATAGAAGTCTTGTATCTTTAGAAATCATTTCTGAGTGTATCGACCATACTTTTCTTGTAGTATGCTGGCCATATCCTACCCCTGAAACTGCTCTTTACCTACATTCTCCATTCTCTCTTTAATTGATCTCATTCATTACTATGGTTGTCTTTTTTAGGCTATGGCTGAGTAATAATTAAAATACTGTCTTTTAAAATGTTAAAATTTTTTTTAATCTGAAAATAATGATGATAGTTGCTTCAGTAATTCTGGCCTATAATGAAAAAAAGAAGTACTATGTAAGTAGGACTTTTTAAGAGAAAAGGCTGTCTATGTATATGATTATATTAACTGAAGTAAGGAAATTTGGTTTTTCTGCTAGCATCTTCCACATCAATTGCAGTAAAAATCACCTTATTATTGTTGTATATAATAGTATGTAAGTGGACAACTGAGGTAAAAACAATAACATCAATTTATATTTGAAAATACCAAGACCAAATTAATTTTTTTCTCAAATATTGTTTATTTTCTTATGCAGTGTTTTGACTATCCAAATTGATTACTCAGATTTTAACTTCTTGATAAAATTTGAATTAGCATTCTAGAAAACTTTTATAACAAATAATATACAGCTAGTTATCAATATGCAAGAGGATCTTTATCACATTTTATGTAAAAGGAAATTAATAAATAAAAATTTAAAACTTTAACATTGATTCACAATTTTTCAAATACCTCTGGATGTCTATATTCATTCAATTTATATGCTTTCTAGAATGTTTAACATTATTTTTATGAGTTCATGGTCATACTGGATGAATTTTAAAATTCAGAAATAACCTTCACTGTTGTCGTTGTCATGCCATTGCTTTTTAAAACCCTGTACTAGGTCTACTTGAATTTCTTTTCTTTTTTAAGACACAAACGGTGCTACTTATAATGATACAAACAGCTGCCACAGATCCAACCACTATCAACACCAAAGAAGAAATGCTAATTCCTGAATTAGGGTGACTTCCATCAGGATTCGGACCTGGATTAGGATTACTTTCATCAGGACTGGTGTCTGCTGTAGGAATGAACAAGGCTACTTGTGCAATGTTGGATACTTTTGATGTCAAGTTGCTTTTATCCACACTTTGGATGGCAATGAATACGTGGGTTGTGTTTTCTCCGGTTGTATTTCCTTGTTTAAATGTAAAGGTTTCCTTGGAGTTGGCTTCCTTTGGTACCAGATTATTGGTGTTTACTTGCAGAGCATCATCAAAATTGTCTTGTAGATCAAGGATATTTCCACTAATCCTTATGATGTACTGTTTAACTAAGAAAAAAAAGTTATATTTAATTTAGAAACTATATCACAGTAAATTCTTCTTTATTCGTTCTGAAAAACATTGCTCATTTGTGCAAAGCTATATTCATATTCACAGACTAATTTTTCTAAGGCAAGCTGAATTTTTTTTTAGTCTCTGCCAAATGAAATTGGGACCAGTTAAAATGTGTTACCCTTCATTTAGTGGTGGGTGTGGTGTAGCATACACAGTTACTCAGTTACTGAGGTTAGAAAATGAACAGCTGAAACCCACATATTAGATGTAAACTAATATGCTACCAACCTCAATAAAAGAAAAAAATGTGTCATAATTGATCCAAAACATGAGATTATAAAGTTAATATAATACTTTAATGTACTATCAATTCAAAATGGTTTCCCTTCACTCACCATTGTGCTTACTTTCATAATGAGTACCTTTCACTTAATCAACCATTCATGACACATCATCCTTACCGTTTCCAATATCAAAGTCATCTCCAGGTGCCGTCCATGTTAGACTGATCTCATCCTCATCACGTGTAGCCTCAAGGTCTGTGATTTGATTTGGGGGATACAGGTCAGGTAAGGGAGCACCTGGTGTTGTGGTTATATTGTTAACCACAAATGCACCTCCAGTTGTTGTTCTGCTGAAACTCTCCAAGGTTGTCTGAGTATCATTTTCAGTTTCAGGTTGCGGTGGGTTCGCTTCAATTTTCCCTGCATTAAAAAATTCATCGTATTTAATGAGAAAAACTGTAATTGAATTTTCCAAACCAATGAATTGACTTCTCTATCCCATATATCTTCCCTTACCCCTACTCCCTCCCTGCATTTTACTATGTTCAGTGACAAAGTCAGAAATCACTAGTTAATGGAAGAATTTTTTTTAGCATATGGACTAGTCTATTGCAGGATATAATCAGATAATGAAAGACTTTTGTAATGAAGGGGAATAGTGCTATATAATTCAATATATGCCTTAAAAACAAACAAAAAAAAATTCTTTATCTTTCAAATGATCTCCAAGCTGGAAAAAACCTGGGGAAATAGCTACTGTTTCCCTTCGAATCACTCCTGGCAAATCTTCCTCCCTCCCTACTACAAGAGCTGAGGAATAATACTTTAGGTTATATTCCAGTTGCTAATAGAAAACCCCTAAAAGTCGCAAGATAAGTGACAAGGAAAAAGGGAAACCAACAAAGAATGCATCTTAAATCTTATCATCACCTTACTCAGCACATTTTTCTTCAAAAAAATATATGTATATGTATGTATCTTTTACAGCATGTGTAACCTGAAAGATAACTTCTAACATTGGCTTGTGTCTGGGCACATAACATATTAGCCTGTTTCCTTCATCCTGAGCTAAAAATTAGGAATACAATTGTTGATATAGATAAGGTGCTTGAGACTAAAATAACAATGGCTCACCTTAATTGAGAGCTTACTATATGCCACACAGTGCACTGAAGTTTAGGTTAACTTGGTGGCAAATCCCAGCATGGCTGAGAAATTTTATAAAGGGAAAAGCTATATTTTGAATTATAAAATGTTTCAAGCTATAGTCATATCAACTCACAATTATTCAACCCATCATGGGATTTTGATATCATAAATTACTCACCATTAACCACCCAGCCTGGGATAAATGCAGCTCTGTTTGAGGGATGTCTGAAGCTTCTTCGTGTGGCACTTGTACCTCCGTGAGCACGTACTTTTAAGTTATATCTGCCATTTTGTGAATAAGATGTAAAATATTTGGAGTAGACCCCATCATTCTTGAAAGCATCAGCACCTTGTTATAGAAGTGAAAAATAAATTATTATAAAGAAATAGAGAAAATTATGCATTCTCTAAACCAAACATATCATTTTTATTAGCATAGTCTCTTGATTGGGATTGACTCCTTGAGGAATATTTACCCCTCTGCCAATCATTATCTTGTTTAATTGATATCCTTGAAATTTATAAATATACCAATAATAGTATATTTAATTATATATACTAATATTATATATGATTGCAATATTTTATAATGTATGTGCATAATATTACACATGTGCATCACTGATAATTATGTATGTATAATAAATGTCTTCAACTTATCAACTTACATGGGGATTATTATAATACTCTTCTTACCATTTCTTAGCCAAATGGTTTGCTTGCACATCTTACTTTTTCTGAACACATTTTGTCCTCATCTGTATTCATCCCCACTAAAGAGGGAGTATCTTAGCATTGGATTTAAGTTTCACTACAATCACCTATAAATTACTTATATCCAACCACCATTTTTTTTTAAATCCTCACCGCTTGCTCTATCATCCATTAAGTCACTAGTCTGACAATAGAAAATCCCATCTGCTATTAGAATAAATATTTAGGGAAGTTCAAGTATATCATGTAATTTTTGATATTACCAATAATAGCTTTATTAAATTGAAACACATTTCTCAAGGGAAACTAGCGCAGGTTTTTAAATGAGGTTCTTTGACCAGCAGCATCTGCATCCCCATATATCTTACTAAGAAAGCAGATTTCTTGAGGGAAGGCCCAGCATTCTGTCTTAACAAGCCTCTAGGTGATTCTTTCACATGCTGAAGTTTGAGATCTCCTGTAGAGTCATTGTAAATCACAAATTCCTTCTTATGTAAGAGCATTTGAAATTAGCTAAGTAATTATCTGTTAAACCTTGAGAAATGAAAGGATGCAGGTAAGTTTTAGTATAATATGGAAGGGTTGGGGTAAAGGAACTACTCAAATAGTTGAAGAATGTGTTGTCATATCAGATGAAGGCTCTCATACGTGTGTCTTCAGAACAATTTTGCCTTCTAACTCTTCGCAGGGCTGTCTCGTTGATGACAGTATTATAAATGGGCTGAATTAACTACATTATAGAAGATATTGATAGAAAATTCTGATAACTCACATGGTTATCAGCATGATAATTTTCTTGCTCACTGACCTTTCAAAAGAAGGTTCTTTCCTAAAATAATTCAGAACCTGGGAAAAAGGTCTTAAGTAACATCCATGCAGACCAGGCAGACAAGGCTATCCAACAGGGTATCTTGGGTCACACCTGGTATCTGATGCCCCAGTGATGTCCTCCTCACCTGTGGCAGCTCTGCCTGCCCTTGATCCTCAGTTCTCAGAACCACATTTGCACATTATTCCAGATATTGGGAATTGCTCTTGCCTGTTCCCTCACACTGCCAGGGACACAAATTTACTACTAAAGCCCATCCATATGATTGCGTGTGCTTTATGTTCCTGGCCAGGATTTCTTGACCAAACATCCCTAAGAAACATTGTTCAATATCTTTAATGTCCTCAGTATTCTGAATAAGACCTTCCTAACGGGTGACTGACATCAGATATCTAGATGACAGACAATAATGGCAGTAAATACCATTTTTGAGTGCTTGCCATATGCAAGATATTTGCTAATCACTTTGTATGTTTCACTTGGATAGAATTTCCTGCTGTTTCTGCTGTTCATCATTAATCTGCAGCAATTTTTCTGCTGTGTGTCCTACTGCTCAACACACTCATGATGACCCATAAAATATCCTGTTACAAAAATATAGGCTTATTCATGGAATCCTGTGAATTACCTGCACCATTGTCCAAAAGCTGCAATGTTTCTGTATGTCCATTCTGTGATTCAATGAAAGCAGTCACATTGGCTCCAAGAACGGGTGTATACCCTTGTGTAACTTCTGCATAAACAATCATTGGGTTGGGGTAACTGTTTGCTTCTGTATTCATTTTAGCATTCACTGTGATTGGAGGCACAGAGGGATTTGCTGGCCGAGAATTCACGGTAATAGTTAATATTTCATTGTTTGATGTGGCTTGAAGACTGTAAGTCCAAACTCCAGTCTAAAAATTTCAATGAAAATACAATGGGTTAATAAGATCAGTATGTTTTCTGTGTTTTCATTGTCCTACTCTAAAATAAGTCTTATTTGTGTTGCAGAATAAACAGGGTTTTGAGTGTTTTTGAGGGTAAAAGGATGAGAGTTGAGGCACTTTAGATAGGACATACTGATGGTTGTCATGCAGGGTGTCCAAACACTGTGAAATATTAAGTAGGAAAAACAAGTTTTGGAAAGTTTGTGAGTCTTGTTATTATTCTTTTACCTCATGTTTTATAGTCTATGATCTGGTAGTGCTAATAAGGAATGATTCTGTAGCTATCTACACACTAAACTGCACAGACTCTTACATTTCTTCCTCAAAGTTATTCTTAGCCTACCTAATTTTTACCCTTGTTTTCCTTACTCTTAGGGCATAAGTTCTTTTTTCCTTTTCTTTCCACCATAATTTTCAGAACCATACAGGCATAGAAATTACATTTTATTTTACCTTAATTATGACAACCATGCAAATATTGGCACTCAATTATGACATGTATTTTCAGCTATTAAAAAATTGTGAGGAAGGGCCTCCCCGGTGGCGCAGCGGTTGAGCGCTGGGTTGCGAAGCTGCCCGCGGCCTCTGCGGCGCCGGTTCGATCCCCGGCTGCTCCCCGGCCACCAGAGGAGGGTCCCGCATGGCGCGCAGACCTCTCCTGCCGCCCGCTGCTCCCCTCAGCAGTGTACTTCGGTCCTTCTGCCTGCTCTGCTCCCCGCTCTGGCTCTGGTGAATTCTCTCACCCTCCCGCGCTTCTGACTGTACCCAGTGCATGTATAAACAAAAAACAAACAAATAAAGAAAGAAAGAAAGAAAACATGCCTCTATATAAAAAAAAAAAAATTGTGAGGAAGTCTAAAAGCTGATTGCTTACTGTTGTAGTTCCTGGAATACGAAGGTAGGCCATTTTGGAAGCTGGGTCCATTGTGAATTGATTTGATGGTGTTCCATTGGGATCCCAGAGAAAAATAGCAGGAGAATTTCGTGCCCAGGTGATGAGAAAAGATGTGTCCTTTCCCACTGTATTGTCAATTATTACAGTGTCATTCATCCAGTCATTATTGTTGAGTTTTGATCCCTTACTTTCAAGCTGTTCAAATATATTTTAAAAATTAATGACCAGAGAAGAGAATAATTTTATTCTTTTTCTTTTTAAATATAATCCTTAATATCTGTAAATATAGAATATGAGGAAAGGATGGGGTATATATGGCTATTATTTTTTTCTCCAGATTTTAGTATTAAAGGATACTACAACTTCTGAGAAGAAATCAGCTGTAAGGCGTGTGTGTGTGTGTGTGTGTGTTTGTGTTATTCTCAGTTTATCCATCTAATTTGGTCAACTTTTTTTCAATAAAACTACAGTTTTTTATATATATTTATTTTTCATTTCTATCTTTTACATAGTTATGTATTCCCCATAAAATTCCCACCACCAGTTTGCCCATGAACCATCGCCATAGATCCTTGTGCTCATCTTTCCCCTGCCCTCATCGCTTTCCCTTTCCTTCTCCTTTCCCTCCCCCTTCCTCATATAATGTCTCTCATCCATGGGTGCCTGTTAGTTTATTATTATTATTATTATTATTATATTATTTTTTTTTTCCTGATCCCATATTTGTTTCCCCTACATTCCTCCTATAAATAAAACCATTCAATATTTTTCTTTTTCCTTCTGGCTTATTTCATGGAGCATGATCCCTTTTAACTTCATCCATTTTGCTGCGAATGGAGTGAGTTTATATTTTTGATTGCTGAATAGTATTCCATTGTGTATATATACCACATCTTCTTGATCCAGTCATCTGTTTTTGGGCATTTAGTAAACTTCTTGATGGTGGCTAGAATATACTTAGTATGGGAGAAGCAGCTCTAGAGAGAAAATCAGGACTACCAGATAATGAGAGAAGTACTAATGGATATTTTCCTGTTTGAAATCTTGAAATGTCCAATATTCATGTGTGATATTTTGACACATAATAGAGTAAATGGCACTGGATGGTAAACAAATCCAACCAGAGTGGAAAAAGGAAAACTTAATGAATATTGGAATCTTGAGAAGAGAAGAAATAAAACATAGGTTCTTTCTCTAAGAGGAGCTTGATGGAATGTTTTTCAAGTCTTCATGAATAGCTCTTAGTCAGGAGAGTCAATATCATCTACTGACCAACAAGTTGCTTTGTACAGACGTGTCATTTTAGGAATGAGGGGGAATCCCACTTCTACTCCAACCCATTCATAAACAAGAAGCCTTCACCCAGTGCTGATAGAAGGGAGTCAAACATTGAAACATCTTTACAAAGACAAAAGTCCCCATCCTATTTAAGTGGATTTGCTTTTGACTAAAGAAGGTATTATTGACTTAAATATGAATGTAAATGACTTTTTTTAGACTCTCCATCAGAAGCATCTAGGAAAGTTTGAAGGTTTCGTCTACATAGAAATACTATGGGAACATCACTGAGTAAACGGGGGGTCTGTCTCTCCTCTGTATTCCTGCTGCCACCATCCAAATCCACGCTCCATCAACTCAGATTCTTGTAACATACAAGAAATTCTCTCCCAAGACCAATCTATCATGTATATGAATCCAGATTAACTTTCCAAAAGTTTACCCTTTAATAAAAAATTATTTCTCTAAGAATCTATAGACTTTTCAAGTGAGGGTTACTCAAACTGTCTTCCTGCCCCTTTCACACCATTTAAAAAACTCCATTCTCAAAATGTTGAGCATCTCCTATATGCAATTATCATCTTTCTTTCTGATTTCTCACATTCTTCTCATATTTTTAGATTTCTTTGGAGAGTTCCATTTTAATGTTTTACCATCCTCTCAAAATTTCTAAGGTTAAAGAATAACATAAAATAATACCCTCAAAAGTAGTTCTCCCTTCTGACCCATCATTTTTGGAAAAAAGTGTCATTCTCTCACTCAACCAGAAAATCTGAAAAAATGAGCTTTATTCTCCTTAAGTTTGTATTCTGTACACAGCCAAACTAGACCTCAGGCTAAATTTTAATACGTTTTAAGGGCAAGGCTATATCAGATCTCCAAATCAATCTTCACGTATCATCCCGAACTTGTATCCTATTACTATGCTTCTCTTTGTTGGAGAGGAGAAAAAAATCAGTCTGTTTATGTGATCAAGGAAAGTTTTAATGTAGGCGGTGACTTAAATTGGAAGATGGAAGAAAAAATTGTTGGTATAAAGTGACATGACATCAACTCGGTAGAATTAGATAAGGATAGAAACAGAATTTTTTTTTAAATATTTGTAAGGAAAAACACTGTGCTGACATTTTACATGGGACATAAACAAAGAAGTATCAGAGCTTATTCAAAGTTTTTGATTTTAAGTAAGAGAAAATGGTGGTGTTGAGTTCAGAAGAGAAGTGAATAAAATGAATGCCAGTGGGAAAAGTGGTTGAAAGGTAAGAGAAGCCTAAGGAATATAAATATGCAATGATATTCACTCTCTTGATAAATTTATTTCCAAGATATACATATATATTTTTTCATTTGCAAACCAAGTTCTTGAATTCAGTTGACTAATTTAAATCTATTTCATAGCAATGAAGGGTGGGGAAATTCTTAGAAGCACAAGATATTTTTTATATATTAATAGAAACATATTTTTGCATTCATTACATTATTAGACAAAGCTTATTTTTTGGTGGAAAACAACATTATTGGATTTTAACTTTACCTCTAACCAAGCCTGTGGGAAAAGTAAAACTATACATCTGCTATTTCATTACTTATTTCACCACTTTGGTCATATCTGAAGAATGATTTCTATTTCAGATTGAAATTTTGATTTTAATTATAAATTTACTTTGTGAAAAATATAGAATGTAAAACTTATAGCGACCTTACCATTTTTTGTGATTATGGCTAAATGCACACACACAAACTGAGTGAATGGTAATTCTGACCTGAAGAGGCTGCTGGGAGACATCTGCGTTTGCTGATGTAAGGGCTGAGAAAGCATCAATGAGACCATTGTTGAGGACATTATCTGAGGCCAATATATGTACTCCACCTAAAATGTAAATATATTAACTTGGTAACTTTCTGTGAAGTAAGTAGTTTTCACATACAGTGATTAATAAGGTAATGGTTAAAAAAATCATAGTTTCTGTATGCATTATTAAAATAGGTCAAAATCAGAAGGTATAAAAATTAACTCTGAAATATTCACTTAAATGCCATAACTAATAAGTGTAAACTAATTTTATACCTTATTTATAGAAATCTTGCTCGACTGATATGGATCAAATAACCATGAAATATAAAAGAAGATGTTATAATGCAATGCATTAATGTTCACAGATTTCACACAGCCCTTTCAGGGAATTATTCACTTTAACATACATGCCTAACAATGTTGAATTTTAGATTTTCTAGTCAGAGTATATCAGAATCAGAGAATTAGAAAGATAAATGAGGTAAGGTATTCTGACAATTGCTAGTAATAAGGAGAGAAAACGGAAAGTGATAGAGACAAATCAGAAAATGATTACTGTGAAGGTACACTTGGGACAAAATAAATAACAATAGCCATAAAACACCTTGAAATAATGGGAGTTTGTACAACTAAGTATTGAAAAGCAAGTACAAGTTTTGTAACATTAGAAATCAATGTTACAAAATTGCAAATATTTTATTTCTCAGTATGTTTAAAAACACACTAAAAATGTAGATCATTTTTATCACCTGTCTCTATATCTAAAATAACAACTACCCAGCAGTTATTCTAGAAACTATGTTATTTCTAGATCTATTCAGTATACATTTCTGTTGAACCTCTACCCCTATCCTGTAGCATATGTCCTGGTCTCATGAATTTCTCACTATCTTCCATGTGCCTCTTACATTGTCATTCCAGCATGATTACTTTGCTCATGACCTGATCATCTTTTCTCACCACTTTTTCTCCAGAAAAAATCAACACCTTCTTCAAGGTCCAACATAGGAGTCACCTCATCTCTCTCGTCTTCTATCTTGACTCTGGGAAAAATAAAGACTTCCTCTGTTCACATAGTGTCTGACTCCTATAAATGCCCCCTGTGATGAGGAAGGTTATCTGGTTATGCTCTCTGATTCATAGTTTTGCCTCCCCAGCCAACTGGATTAAGAACACCTTCAGAACAGAGAATGGATCTGGTTTGACTCTGCCCCCCTGCTCCTACAGAAGAGATTGAGAGGAATTATTGTCTGCTTCTAGACATGCACTGTTATCAAAAGGCTAGAACATGTAGGTCATATTTTACCTGTTAGTTTGCTCATCTCTGTGACTCCCTTATCAGCAGAAGGTCCCAAAGCAATCAAATGAACAATGGCCCCACTTTCTACCACTTTGTCAACACAATTCCCTGCAGTGGAATCCTCCCCATCAGTCAGCAGCACTATTTCAGATCCATCTAGTGGGTACTGTTTGCGAATTACCTGCAAACAAAATGACAGTATAATTAACAAATGTTCCCAGATCAGGTAGATTGATGGGAGATTTTAAAAAAATGTACAGAGAAAATAAAACAAAAGTGTCCAGAAAGGTAAGTCTATCTAAGTGCTTGTGAAAGAAGGTACAGATAATTTATCCCAGGATAGTCACTTTATTTCCTCTTCTCTAGTCACTTTGTTATTTCTTTCTTAGTACAACATTTTAAGAAACAGAGTCCAAGACAAGAAGAAAAATATGCCACATTATCAGTGACTATTCTGGATTTGGAGAGGAGGTATGTGTAGGTTTGTAGAAGAGAGTTTGGAAAGTAGAAACCCCTAATAAAGCTGGTATCAGGGAACAAAACAATCAGCTTCAATTCAAATTTCCCAGGTTTTCCTAGCAACAACAATTGTTGGCGAGGTCGTGGAGAAAAAGGAACTCTCCTGCATTGCTGGTGGGAGTGCAAACTGGTCAAACCACTATGGAGAGCTGTGTGGAGATTTCTTGACCTACTAAAGATAGAGCTTCCATATGATCCAGTAATTCCACTCCTAGGTATTTACCCAAATGACACAGAAACATTAACTCCAAAGGGTACCTGCATCCCTATATTTATAGCAGCACTATTTATAATAGCTAAGCTTTGGAAACAACCCAAATGCCCCAAAATAGATAACTGGATCAAGAAGATGTGGTTCACTCAGTCCTTTGGCCTGCTCTGCTACCCGGTCTGGCTCTGGTAAATTCTCTCACCCTCCCACGCTTCTGACTGTATCCAGTGCTTGTGTAAATAAATAAATAAATAAATAAATAAAAGAAGATGTGGTACATATAGACAATGGAATATTACTCAGCAATCAAAAAAGATAAACACATGCAATTTGCAGCAACATGGATGGAGCTAGAAGGGATCATGCTCAGTGAAATAAGTCAGAAAGAAAAAGAAAAATACTGGATGGTATCTCACTCATAGCAGGAATTTAGAAAACCTAAATAAGGGACCATAAAAAAGACTTATTACTCCAAAGTAAAAATCAAAATCAACAAGCAACTATAAACCAGAGACACACTACGGGGGGCGGGGGAGGGAAGGAAAGAGGAACGACTAGGGTCAAAATAAGGGGGGGTTGCAATTGTATGGGGAATATAACCAAAAAGATAATGCATACATTGTGCAAAAATGAAAAATGATGTAAGAATTATATAAAATAAAATATTAATTAAAAAATTAAAAAAAAACAAATTTCCCAGGTTTTCAAGTAGAGGATGACTGTTGCAGATCTATTGTAATATATGCAAAATATATTCTGACATACGTTAAAATCAAACTGAAAAATACAAAATGCTTTTATGTATTTACAGCATTTATACAGTACTCCCACCATACCTTTCTACACAGCTGAGTGCAAGCTGAAGATTCAAAGATGAAATAGAGTTCTCTTTCCTTCTCTTCTCCCTTGTATGTATTAGTTTATTCACTGAGGACTTAGGATGTGTTAATCTAACCATAGTTGCTATGTTTTAACAGGAATTACATGGTTCCTGCATTCATTGAAACCATTAAATTAAATTTTAAAATATTGAGATTTGGGCTAGAGACTGAGGAGATCTAGAAGTAAGTTGCAAAGACACAACTAATGTATTCTACAGTTCAATAGAAGCAACAAAATGTAATATTGCTACCATGTATTAAACATTTGTTTAAATGTGTTTTATATATTGTGTAGTTTGAGCCAAATCTAGATTTCCAACCTGCCCATAGGTTACTACTGTACTGCTATTCTTATTTACAATTTATTTTGTATGGGACAACAAGAATCATCTTCCTAAATATAAATTGACTATCAGTTTAAAGCCCTTCACTAGCTTTCTGTTGTGCTTAAGATAAAATTCAAATCTCTTTATTTTTCAAATTTTGAAAGATATAATCATTGTATATGACATTCCTCAGATCCTTGTTTGTCAAGCTCACATGCCACTAGCTTTTACCACGTCATAGAATAATCTAGTTATTTTCCACCTCTTTCCAAATGGACTTTGCACTTTTCTTTCTTAATGAACCACTTACTCTTTAGATAAAGAGTATTCAAATCTTAGCTTGAATGTCACCCTTCAGAGAGCGTCTCAGTGGTTCCTCTACATAAAACAGGTAGCGTTCCTCCTTTGCCAGTTGTTCTATAACGTCTCCCTGTATGGTTTCTTCACAACATTATTTCCACAATCTGTAATTTTTAAATTTATTTATTTATGTGTTATCTTTTTCTCAATTAAATAACATGTACTATAAGAGCAGAGAAGTTTTGCAAGGCTCATAAGTATATTTTGAATATACTGAAACATGAACAACCCTTTGTGTTTGCTTACATTACCCCGTTTTACCTATAAGAAAATGGAAGACTAGAGAAGTTAAGAATCATGCTTAGGATCACAAAGCTAGTAAGTGATAATTGCAGTTTGAACCCAGGACTCATGTTAGAAACCTACACTGAAATGCCTTGCTGTTCATAAAAGAGGGAGATTCAATAGGCTTGGGAGTGAGAGGAAGAGCTATAAGAAGGAAAGGGCTTTTAAAGAATTGGTAGAGTTTTAACATGGAAATAAGGAAACATTTTAGGCAGATGGGTTGCCTAGACAAATGTATGGAGGTTGTTGGTAACTTCAGGGCATGGTAGACAATGTATGCCGTAAATTGGTTGAAGTTAGAACATCATAAGTGTTGAACTGAGAAGGCTGGCAAGAGAGATGAAGATACTTTTATTGGAGGATGAGAGGTTTTTGACTATCATCAGATTGAGGAATTCAGATAATTTTATACACTATGAGTAGGCAGTCATTATTTCTAAGCAGGAAAATAGTATAATTGACATTAATTTTGAGCTCAAGATGACCATTTAAATAAAAATAAGATATCCTTATCATAATAACAGTATATGATGTATTTATTATATAATGAATAAGTGTATCAATGTATCATTTCACTTAATCCTTCTAGTAACCCTATGAGATAAGCATTCTTATTTTCTTGTTTTATAGCCAAGGCATTGAGAGTCCAAAGAGACTGAAAATTGCCTTGATCACATCGCTAATAAATAAGAGAATAGTTACTACTCTGATGTCAGAAATCATATTGTGACCTGTATTCCTTACTCTAGGACTAACAGACCCTGCTACATCTGCTTTAATATATAAACATTAATTTTCCTAACTGAATGGCACATAAATAAAAGGAAGGACTGGTCCAAAGTGGAGTCATACATACAACTTATTTCATTTCCTTAATAGTGGATGACTTTTGATTCCTAAGCACATGTCTTTATTTAATAGCATTCACTGAGCAAATATTATTACAGTAACACTAGACAAGTCCCTGACCTCATTGGGTTTATTCTTTAGTGGAACTTAAAGCTGTTTATTCATTCATCCGTTATTGATTCACTAATCCATTAAAAAAATCATCAAGTGAATTTTTTCTATGTGCTTATTAATCTTATACTATTTAGAATTTTTTATATTAAAATTAGGGAGCAACATAGCAGGAATTTAGAAAACCTAAATAAAGGACCCGGAAAAAGACTAATTGCAATAAAGTAAAAATCAAAATCAACAAGCAACTATAGACCAGAGACACACTACAGTGGAGGGTGGGGGGAGAAGAGGGATTAGGGTCAGAAAAAGGGGGTGGGAATTGTATGGGGAATATAACCAAAATGAAAATTCATACATTATGCAAAAATGAAAAATGATGTAAGAATTATATAAAATAAAATAATTCATTAAAAATTAAGATAATTTATAAAAAATTCTAAAATAAAAAATTCACTTTCTGAAAAAAAAAGAAACCTCAAATAAATGCAAACTGAAAAATTTTCTACAAATAACTGGCTCACAGTCTTCAAAGGATCAGTGTATAAAAGATGAAATAGATGAAAGAAAAAGGTGAGCTATTACAAAGTAAAGGAGAATTAGAAGACATGCATGCTATATGGGACCTGATTTGAACTTTGAATGAGAAAAAATGGCATTAATGGGACAACTAGCAAATTCTGAATAAGGTCTGCAGATTAGAGAATATAGTATATCATTGTCAATCATCTGATTTTAATCATTGTACTGTGATTTTGTGAAGACGTTAAATTTAGGGAGTCTGGGTAAAGATATGGTATGGGAGAAAAAAAATAAAATAAAATTAGGGAGCAAGTATATGCAATAGCACTTAACATAAAAATGTCCTAATAATTTTTTAAAAAGTATATTCTTAGTTTAATTTTCACCTCAAATGCTGATTCAGTTCCAGAGCAGATGGAAGTTCCTCCACCAGCTGCTGTAGGTAATTTCCCCATGAGTGTGTTTCTTTCATTGTCACTTTTTATTTGGAGTAGTTCACTTTTGACGATAGCAGAACTATCAAAGTGCACCATTCCCACGAAGGACTCACTTTCAATGATCTCCATCAGGAAATGTTTTGCAGCTTGATTCATTCGATTTAGGCGGTCATAATTCTACATAAAAAAGGATGAGAGAAACAACCACAATGCTTACCATTCATTGAATGAGGAGAAAAGGAACAGCTGAAACTGGCCATATCTTCTTTATGGTGGTGCTTTTAACCTTTGTCATTGAACATAGTCATTTATGTAGATGATGCAAATAAAATAAACCATATTAAGAATTCTCCTGCTGATATCGTACCTTCAGAAGCCCCTAAGCCACTCTCTGCTCACGTCTGTGAAGTATTTTCAAGGGCAGGGATTAGAAAACCACCCATATTTCAATATGTAGTTCTGATCTTCTAACTAAAGTTTTACTAACAGGTCTAAAGTCCCCTCAATTTTCTGGATAAACAGACTCTAGGTTTAGGTCTTTTCAACTGTATTACCACCCTCTTTTACTATAATATTCACTGCCTCTATGAGATTATGATGACAGGGAATGATGGTATTTATGCCACCATGCAATTTAGAACAACCCAGGTGGAGGTAACATTCAGAGTGCTCTCAGGCATTCAACACCAGATTCCTGTCCTTACATACAGGAAAAATGGACCCATGAACTTACCCCCATGCTTCCGGACTTATCAAGAACCAAGCACACAACTCTTTCACTGATCCTCAACAGTGAGAAGAAAGGTGAAGGGGGTGGTGCAACTATAGGCGTTGTGTTTTGAAAATCCTCAGAAGCGCTGATCACCTCCCATGTGCTTCTAGCATTGCACATTTTGTTTTGTAGGGTAGGAGCTTCTCGGTTGTGTTTCTTTTTAGTACAGAATGCAGTGACCTAAAAGGTTGATAAAATGGAAAAAATAGTATATATGATGCCTTTAAAAATTCAACTACAAATTCAAAAAAAATGAAAAATCTGCTCTATTCATTTAATGAAATATAATTCATTGAGGAATCATAAAATAGTGAGGTAAATGTTCAATAATGGTAATAATAGGTAATACTAATTGAATGCTTACTCAGTGTGCCAGTCAATGTTGCAAGAACTCTATATTAATACGTTGAAGCCATCAGGTCACCTTCCAAGCATATCCTCGAATTATAAACATACAATTCCGAAGTAACAATTGTCATACTTACTGAGTCAATAGCTTGCATAAACATTATTGATGCTGTTTCAATTTGATCTTGATCAGGGAAGAATTGACAACCTTTTTCGTACAGATTTGTTGTTGAGTCAATTTTGCATGGACTATCTGTACAACTACCTCCTTGACAGTGAAGCTGTCTGTTGCGACCAGTGATACCTGTGGAACACCTGAAAATATTTGACAGTTCGTCTCTGAAACGATTTAACCATTAACATTTTTTGAAAGCCTTTAGTGTTGCTATTCACAATGATCCTTATATAAAGATTTTAATTTTTATTGTTTATCACAAATCTTACTTTGATAGCAAAGTTTAAGAGCTCCACCAGAAGAGCTATCTCTTTCCCAAGAAATTGCAGAAGGAAATTTCAAGTGAGATCATCAATATACATACATTGGTTGAGTTTGCTGCTTGGATTCAAGCTCCTGCTGACCTATTCGTGCAAATGGCTATAGATAGGTTCCCCTTTCCAAAATCTTTCTGGAGGAGGTCTCGTGGTGATAAATGCACTGCAGGCACCTGGACTATCTTGTGAAATCATGTAAGCCCAGTACTACTTTAGCTTAAAGTTCTTTATAGATCTCTTTCATAAGATGTTCCCAAAAGAGTGGGATGTGGCATAACTACAAATGTTTTGATTATTCAAAGAGCATTTTTATATCCAAAGTGACAAAAATCTCACTTGAAGGAAAGACTAAGTATTGCCTAAGACAGTACAGAATGGTGGAGGCACTTTAGACACATATATATTTTTTTTTTTGTTTGAAATTGGCCACAGGTGACAGTGATTACAGGGACTATGCTAGGGTATGAATATAGCCCAGCTTTTCAATGTGTTTCCATTCAAATTCAAATGACTTGATTTCTTTCAGTTATTTGGGAAGTTTTCTAAATATATGCCTACATTTATTGCCCTGAAACTCAGTGAATGTAATGATGTTATCTATATTAACAGTCAAGATATTCTGCCACATAGACTAGACATTTAGGGGGAATATGATTTAAACAAATATAATCATTGTAACATCCTTTAAAATATGTGCCCTGAAACTGATGCTATGATACTGTTAAAGAGTCTTAATTGAAATCATGTGTCTTTGGGTATGTGCATTTGTTTATACTTTTATATATTTTTATTCCTTCTTAGTCATTTTTATTCATTCTTCTGTAGTTAAGTAATTTTGATCTTCCAGCATATAGTACATCCCTTATACAGAATATACCACCAGCATAAATGAGTTCTGTCAGCTATGGTGAAAATGTGTGAAAACATGTTAATCTGAATACCAAATGTTCTTAAAGTTATATATATATATGTTATAAATGAATAGCCAGCTACCTTGAACTACATTTTCAAATAACCAGAAAAGCACAGATTTGTGAGAAAGCATATATTGTCTACTTTGGAATGAAAATGATTAATATTTGAAGGAAGGGCCTCCCCGGTGGGGCAGCGGTTGAGCGCTGGGTTGCGGAGCTGCCCGCAGCCTCTGCAGCGCCGGTTCGATCCCCGGCTGCTCCCCGGCTGCTCCCCGGCCACCGGAGGAGGGTCCCACATGGCGCGCAGACCTCTCCTGCCGCCCGCTGCTCCCCTCAGCAGTGTACTTCGGTCCTTCTGCCTGCTCTGCTCCCCGCTCTGGCTCTGGTGAATTCTCTCACCCTCCCGCGCTTCTGACTGTACCCAGTGCTTGTATAAATAAATAAATAAATAAATAAATCTTTAAAAAAAAAAAAAATATTTGAAGGAAATCAGTGTAAGGAAATAAGAAGTTACAGCCTAGAATAATTTAAGAAAAGTTAAATGGTCCTGCCTTGTTGCTTCGATTTTTTTTGACTTAGCAGCATAGAAAGGTTTCTCTTCATTGTACTCATCAAACACTCCCCAGCGGAGATGAGCCCACTCATGGACCAGCAGCCTGCCTGTGGGGAAATATTTCAAGTACATGGTCATCATTCAAGTGACAAAATAGAATCTCAAAATATATTAAGAATTTTTTCAATGAAAACATTTAGGCTTTAAATAACTGCAAACATTTGTACTTTTGTTTATAAAAACATTTCTTTATATTGCATAACAGTATTGTTACTGATATAGAATATAGTATGTCTTTTTATGCCATAACATATTAAATCAATTAAACATATCATGTATTTGATATGGGTAGAATAGACTGGACTTTGGGTTTTGGTTGTGAAGGAACAGAAAGACTTAGATATTACAATGGTTTGGTTCTACAAAACTCACTCCTCCCAACAACATAAATACCTATCTATGGTAATAAAATTTCACAAGGCAATTAAGTGTTAAAAATGTCTATAAATGTTCCTTAAGTGAGTGATAATGAAGAAAAGTTTGACAATAATTTCAATGCTGTGGGACATATTTAATTTTTGGGTGACAAAATGAGGTAAATATTTTTTGGTACTTAACACATATCATTAATTTTATGAAAACAATTATTATTGTATATATTTAACACAATACTAGTTACTAGGAAACATAAAGATGAGTAAAATATAATAAGCTTAGAGAGAGGAAATATAGTAAGCTTATAGTAAGCAAAATAAAAATAAAATTCTACCTAGCATTTTTAAGGCAAATGGAAGAATATAGGTAAATCCACAACTTGAAATGCAAGAAACAGAAACAAATGGAAATTTTGTTGTAACAATATTAGGGAAAACTTCAGAGGAAATAGAATTGGAGAAATTGGAAATATAGTCTCTTCTGCTACAATGCATGTTTCTCTCACTTAAATTAAAAGCTTGTGAGATATGAAAATAGAGGGGGAGATATCAGTGTTATGCAAAAGTCATGTTTCTTCTTTAAGTTCTTGCCACTCAAGGAACATTAGTAAACCCAGATCTAACAAATGCAGAATGTTGGGCCCACTGAATTAGAATCAGCAAGTTAACATGATCTCTAAGTTATTCCTCTACATGTTAAGTTTTGAAAACATTGACTTGAGGTTTCTTAGTCTAATGGAGCCAGAGTAGTAAACTGGAATTATATAATCTTCAGTATGGGAGGAAAAGACCCTTATATCAGTTACTGCCATAGGGATTTGCAAACATGGAAACAGTTTTATATATATAACTGTGTAAGGAGGTGATTTGTTAATTCACTTGACTGTAGTAATCATTTTACCTGTATATGCATCAAATCATTGTGTTGTACATCTTAGATATGTATAATTTTTATTTTGAAAAACAGCCCCCTCCCAACCCCCCCGAGACTTAGAATTCCACTCCTATTTCTGTCAGTATCTTAGTTTCCTCTAGCCCTGGTCTCGTTTCTAATATCATTTCTCTCTCTCTTTCTCTCTGTGTGTGTGTGTGTGTGTGTGTGTGTCTTTTAGGCATAGTAATTGGATTCAGATGGTTTATATTTCTAGACTCATTCATAAGCTTGTGCCCAGATTGAGTGAAAGTTACAAGGTAACTTTGAAATTATTTAAACTTTAAACTGTTCCTAACAATTTAATAATATAATTGCTACCTTATATTCCAGTCTTCACCATATCAATTTTGTTAATGTTAATGAAAATATTGGTGAGATCCTTTTGGCATGGACACTGATGGAAATGGTCAAAATGGTTTAGATATACCAGTCCATACTGGTGAAATGGCAGTCGTGGTTCTCATTAATCACTTTTCATTACATTTCATCATGGCTCACTAAAAGGAATCTCTACCCTTATGGCTCCTTTTGAGACTTAGATATTTTCTTTTTGTTCTGTGGACTACCTGGATTTTAGATCTCTGGCCAGAATCTCTCTTCTCATCTCTTAGAATTTTTCTCACAAATTCCACTGACAAGTGCAACTGAACTTTCAAGAAATAGACATTTTGAAGTCATTACAGACTATTGAAAAGCTGAAAAACATTTGAATTGATTTTAAGAAATTTATGGTATGTTTATTTTTAATATCTGCTATGCTGGCATACTCCAGCCACACTGAGCAGCTGCCTGTATGTCCCAGATGATCCTTCTGGGTACCTATTGTTATAGTTGTTGTCATTGTTATTGTAAATTGCATAGATTTTGAGGACTTTCAATCTTTTGTTCCCCCAAAGCCTTGTTGAGTCACATAGTAACATAAACACCTAATGGGGGGAACTGTCAGTTGTAGGAAATGGCTGAGGTAGGGGCATGGGGAAAGAACAAGAGCTCAGGAGGGCATTTTTTAATTAAAAAGTCAGAGAAAATCCTCCTTTTCTAAGACAGGTGAGATAGAGATGAAAGTAGGAATGAGTTTGGTAATAGAGAGGAAGAATTAGGAAATCTATTTCTTCATTCAAGGCATCTTTTGATTGATTGGATTGAAAAGAATGGCTAGAAAATGGGAAAATAGTGGTAGATGTTTTACAATTGTTATAGAGATTGAGAAAGGAGCTGGGATTAGAAAAGTAAAAATATTGTCGAGTAGCTTTGAGGGCTTCCCTGAGATGAGAAAATGTTTTTTTCTAATGATTTATAATTTTCCTTATAATCTGCGGAAACCTAGTAACATGAGCCAAAGAAATCTGGCTGGAAATTCAACACAGAGTATTTGTAAGTTGAATGAAATTTAAATATAAGGTGTTGAGCAAGTCAAGCTATTTATACTTTTAGATGAAATGTCTGACTTTGCTGGACATGCCAGATAGGAAGTTTAGCTAGAAAGGCCCAAAGGAAGAGAGGAATAGTCAGTTAGTGTATGTGGGAGGGGTAAAATTGGGGTGGAATGATGGAACTTTCACCATTGGAATGGGGAACTGGTCCAGGCAATAATAAGCAACAGGACTAGGTGAGTGATTGTCACAGACAAGAGACTTAATGAATGCTCATGGAAGAGGCAGTGGAAGAGGTGATCCTGGGTGTGTGGAGTGAGGAAGGTCATTAATTTCCTTATTAATGACATGTGAGTTGTGCTCGCCTTTAAAAAATATCATTTTTATATGAAAAATAGTGTGCATTAGATCATTTGAAACAAAGATCTGAACATTTAGATTGAAGTAGATGAAGCGGCCATTTTTATAGGTAAACATAATCTCTTGGAGACAAGTTGGATACTAATATCAACAACTGGTAGCCTGTAAATGTTTTCTCTTCACTGGCAATGGATATTTTGCCTCTTTTCATCTTGTTAACCATCTGCCTTCCAAGGAGGTGAGATATGATTGATTCATGTCCAGATGTGGAGAACTGGAAACTTAAAAACTAAAAAGTATGCCTTAAGAAATTCCCCTGTTGGGCCTCGCCGGTGGCGCAGCGGTTGAGCGCTGGGTTGCGAAGCTGCCCGCGGCCTATGCGGCGCCGGTTCGATCCCCGGCTGCTCCCCGGTCACCGGAGGAGGGTCCCGCATGGCGCGCAGACCTCTCCTGCCGCCCGCTGCTCCCCTCAGCAGTGTACTTCGGTCCTTCTACCTGCTCTGCTCCCCGCTCTGGCTCTGGTGAATTCTCTCACCCTCCCGCGCTTCTGACTGTACCCAGTGCATGTACAAACAAGCAAACAAACAAATAAATAAATAAAAATACATGCCTCTTTAAAAAAAAAAAAAAACTATAAAAAAAAAAAAGAAATTCCCCTGTTATTTGCTACTGTTTTCAAATTTTATAGACACTGTACTGATTGTAGTTATATGGGTTATCTAATTTAATGTTCCTAAATCCATAAACTAGGAAGTCCTCTATTCATTTTATAGCAAATGAACACAAATAGGCTAGCTCAGTTTTCCAATCTAAATTTTAAGATCTTTGGTTCGAATGACCTAATAATGCACAGCTAATAAATGGGAGAGTCAGGACCTGAACCTTAGAACTCTGGTCCCAAGGACTGTTACACCTAACCTGGATACAAAGCTGCTTATTAGAATATAATCAACCTACCTGCTGGTCCATATTCATTTTGTTTTTTTCCAAGGATAAAGTCAGGTGTCAAATGAATGAATTCTGCTTTTTCTCCACAGCCTGTGAACTGCTTGGTGTATGGTTCATCTCTACCTGGGACGGTTGGTGGTGCAACTTTAACATCAGCCTGAGAATGTTTAAAAAGATTTTTAAACATTTCTATCAGAAACAGAAATGATAACGTTTAGCCTAAAAAATTTGAAATGATCAATTTGCAGCAAAATTGAGGAGCAACAGAAAATACAATCTTTTAAGAAAAGTTTTTGACTCACATGTGCGTAGCTTTCATGTTTTGGCCTCTTGTACCGAGGGTCTGCTTTCCACTTCTCAGGAATTAATATTGATATGTTTTTGAAAAATAGTCTTTTTTCTGTGGCTTCAAACAGGTAAGTGGAAGCTTCAGTCACCATTTCCTATTGTTTAGGAGAAAAACATATGAGGATGACCAAGTGAGAGTTGACTAAATGAGCAGGAGCTCATCTCAGGCATATTCCAAATTAGGAGTGAAGAGAAAAAGCAACAGGCTAATGAACAGGGTCTCTACCTCATAATTCCTATTTTGCCACCTGTCCCATCAAAATTACAGCTTAATCTTGCATATTTGAAGGATTTGTCTTCTATAATCCTTCATCAAAAGGCAAGTGTTTCTTTTTGGTGTTCAGGGAATCATATAATAGGATAAAGGGTATAGAGTTTGGACTCATCTCCTTTGAATACTAGCATTAGCACTTTCTGGGTAATTTATATAACCAATTTATCTGGATCAATTTACATAACACTCTCAGGCTCAGTTTCCACATATTTAAATAAACTATTACTACCTATCTTTAAAGTGGTTATAAATTTGCAGCAACATGGATGGCGCTGGAAGGGATCATGCTCAGCGAAATAAGCCAAAAAGAAAAAGAAAAATACCGGATGGTCTCACTCATAGCAGGAATCTAGAAAACTTAAATAAGGGACCAGGAAAATGAATATAAGAAAGTGAAAATCAAAATCAACAAAAAACTATGAACCAGAGACACTTTTTGGGGGGTGGGGGGCGGGAGGGGAAGGATTGGGGTCAGAATGGGGCGTTTGCAATTGTATGGGGGAATATAAAAATAAAATTTAATATAAAAAAAAAAAATAAAGTGGTTATAAAGATGGAATGAATTATGAAGTACTCTATACTCGCATATTTATAAAACCGATTGTTATCATTACTAATGAGAATAGCCCTAAGTGATGCAAGCTAAGGAGAACGGAACTTCTGTGGGGATGTGTCATAGACATTTTTTTATTATATTTGCAGTTTCCAGGAGAGGCTGGATTAGGGGTTGGCTGATGGAAAAGTTCATAGGAAGGGCAGCCCTTTTTGCTCCTAGGCTGACAATAATATATTGTTCAGTATCCTGAACCTAATAAGAGACATAGGCCTACTCTAGACCCCTACTATAGAACTCCACTATTTAGTGGAGAAAATGGGTCATCTTTTCTATAAGATCAAACCCAGTGAATAATTGAGCAATATTGGATACTAGATCACACTGTGTCAACCTCTTTATCTTGCTAACAGCTGCCTAGTCCACAGTGCTTTCTTCCTCCAGGCAGTCTCTACTCCTTCATGATGCTTCCTGACCTAACATAACTCCACAGTGTAATTATTCTCTCAAGAATTCCAGGGAATGCTAATCTTTTCTCTTGACGAGAGTCCAGTGTGCTGACTCATGTCTGAAGAGATGAGCAAATTGGGTTCAGAGCCATTGGATCCTTCAGAATCAAGGGTGCAGAGAACAGAAGTCCCAAAAGACTGGTTAGAAATTAGCAAAAGAGTCAGTGACCCCTAAATTTCATTTAAGATTACTTCATCACTGGCTGGAAACAGACTGAAGAACTCTATTTGTTCCCTACGATGTCTCTGCTCTTTGGGGGCGGGGGGTGGGAGAAACGGGAATACTTAGACCTCAGTTACCATCTACTTAAAGTGCCCTCTATCCGTCTCTGTAATTATGAGATAAAAGTGTGCGTGGCAGCTTACATTGTGGGACAGATTATAAAGGAAGGAGTTCTGCATACAGTTATATGGGTTGTATATTGTACAACCCAAGTAATTCCACTTACTTTATAGTTTCTATATCTCTATGCAACTGCTTTGGATAGGTATTTCTCAAGTCATGAGGAGTTTCTCAGACTCTATGTGAGATGACTTTGATTCTCTAGAGAAGACAAGGTTGTCTACTAACGGTTATTATTTTTATATGCTTTCCAAGCAGACTATCTTTAATATTATTTCCAAATTCCTTCTCTGTATACCTGTAATATCCCATTCGGATCAGATTAAAATATTGATATTTCCTAAAACAGGTACTCTCAAAAAACACACACACAAAGATTAAAATAAAATTTCCAAAACAGGTACTCTCATATAAAACAAAAACGAAAATGAAAAATATACATGAGTAAAAGAAATAAGGAAACTTGATATTGTCATCTTAGGTCATCAGTTATAAACCAATTCAGCACAAATTATATTATGGTCAGGTAGTATCCTAAGAGTAAGATTATGTGCATAAGTGTAAAAAAAAAGAGTGATTTTTGCCATCTCATATAAGCCAGAGGCTAAATCAAGGTCTTGCCAACCTTCATAACCAGTGTGCTTTATCTCCATTATAACTGTACTACGTAAAGTGACCTTGGAAAAGAAATGAGTTCTCTTTTGTATAATGTATATGATAGTGTTTCACAAGGTTGCCTGAAAATATAAGTATAGATGACTGGGGGAATGTTCAGAAAAGATTGTGTAATCTAAGGATGTCTACTAGCAAGTGAACTTCTAGCCTTCAATAAAGGACCATATTAACAATTTTTTGCCCCTATATATACATTCTACAATTTTGCGATTCAGAAAAGTTTGAAATGCATCAGTTCTCTGGACTAAAATGTCATCATTCATAACTAGCTCTATTAGCTGTTATTTAAGCCTATGTTCTTAGTAAAGAAAAATCTTTACTTCCTCTAAAATTCAAAAGATATCAATAAATGAAAGCTATTAGGTGGCAAGAGTTTATACAGAAAGTGTGATATAAAGCAAGCAGAGAATCATCTGCTCACAATGCAAGTTATGCTCATTAGCTTCTGATAGATGATACTAACATCATGTAGAAGGTTATAAAACAGTGAGCATAAAGACATACTAGTGAAAGGATTGAGTATAAGGAATAAATTGATGTTTGGGATGAGGGAACTACCTTACATAGCTATAGCAATAAGCTCTTTATTGCATGAAACTTAAAGTTCAAAGAAACTTTAGAAATCAGAGCTCCTAGTTCAGACCTGGGACTTTTCTCCATCTGTACTACCTAATGAATTAATTTATTTTTATGGATTGAAATCTCATCTACAATGACTTCTAGATTTTCCCCCTGAATTCAGATTCTTATCTCCATTTATGTGGATGTTTAATAAGCAGCAAATTCAAAATGTCTAAACTAATACCTGATATTTCAACCACAAAATATTCTCTACTTACAGTCTTCCCCATTTCAGTTGATAATAATCCCATATTTCCAAATGACTGGGTCAAAATCTTGGAATTCTTTTCAGCTATTATTTTTCCCTCTTACTTACTCATACCCATGCTTAGATAAACCATCAGCAGATTTGTCCATGATCCCCCTCATAACTGATTTTTACCACTGTATCCCTGTTCCTAGTTACCATCTCTTCTCACCCATGACAACTTCCAAACTGGTGTCCTTCTATACCTCTATGCCGCACAAAGCTTATACAGGATGAGTAACAGGTGGACCTCCTACAGAGTTTCCCCAACACTGCAGTCAGAGTGATTCCTGAACATGCAAAAGAAAACATTCCCCTCCTCTGCCTGGAATCTTCCCATGCATGGCGCTCAGAGTAAAAGCCCAACTCTGTCTACTTCGTCTAGGTCCTGCTACCTCACCAAGTAGCTCTCCCATCTTTCCTCCTGCTCATTCACTGTTGTTTCTTAGGTCACAATTCTTCTGATGAACCAGAAGCATTCAATAAGCACTTGCTTAAAGAACTGTTTAGTCCAACTGCTCATTTACATGAAGAAACTGAGGATCACAGGGTCCTGTTCCCTCTATTTGGTCTTATGGTGAGACAGAGCAGAACTCTGTCTACGTCTTCCAATTCCCACTGCCCATTCTAGCATTGTCTTCACTCCCCCATGCTGCTTTTAAACTTCCTCAAACATTCAGAAATTTCCATAACGATTATTAATACTAACTTTTTTCCTTTTCCATAGTCAAAAAAGAAATTCCATTACTTCCTTACCTTTATTTTTTCAATTAATGTTGCATTTTCTGTCACATTTGGATCTATAGCAATGATGACATTTTCATAGCCATTGTCACTCACTCGAACAAAGGAAGTATTGGATCCTTGCAGCAGATACAGGACCAAGAAAAAGACAAAACCTCTGAATAACCCCATTGTCCCCCTTGAGTTTTACACCAACTCAAGAGGCATTCTTTCACCTTCTGGCTCTCTATATATACTCCAAAACATTATCAGTGTTATCTCGTTTTGGGACTTTGACCATATAAAATGTTAACATTACGTATGTAGGAAAATATTCGACCAGTTTACACAATCCTTTTATTGTATGTTATTGTAAAAGTGATCACAAACACAGGGCTAATCAGATGTGTCTATATAATACTTTGCACATTTTTACCTAGGAAGTATTTTTAATACTTTCTAACTTTGGTTGATGTCTTAAATATAAATAAACTTTGTGTATTCTGTAGAGTAGAATGTGAAAATTAATATTTTATAATGAAATGAATAGAAATGATAATGTCAGTGTCTTCAACTTTACAAAGCAATTTATTTATTTAGATTATCTACCAAGGGTAGAAATAATGGAAGGAAATAATATTGTTAAAAATAAATAATACCAAATAAGTTAAGATAGTGTTGAAATCTTTAAATTAAAAAAAATCTTAAACTGTTATATTAAGGAGGATTTGATAGTTATTCAAGGAAATTTTTTAAAATACTATCCATTAAAGAATGAATAGAATTTGTTTTTATACAAGTATATTAAAAATGTCTGATACATTTGAAGGAAAGTGAATAATATTAATATTTAACATATATTCACTGCTTACTAGGGCAGTGCTTCTCTAACTTAATCCTCACCACACATCTCCAATGTAAGTATGACTATTATCTTCATTTTAGGTTGGGGGGAACTGAGGCACACAATTTCAGTAACTTGCCAAGATAGCATAGCTAATATATGGTAGAGTTAGTATCTGAAGCTAGTGTTGCTTACTTAAGAGGCCTTGGAAATAACCATTCCATAACATGGCAATATTGTTTTATAAGACAAATAATATAGTAAGGTTGTTTAAATACAAGATAATCAGGGTCAGGTTAGGAGTTGTGATAATGAATCAAGACTATCCAGTCCTAGGGCCTCCCCGGTGGCGCAACTGTTGAGCGCTGGGTTGCGAAGCTGCCCGCAGCCTCTTCAGCGCCGGTTCGATCCCCAGCCACCGGGCGAGGGTCCCACATGGCGCGCAGACCTCTTCTGCCGCCCGCCCACTGCTCCCCTCAGCAGTGTACTTTGTCACTCTGTCTGTTCTGCTCTCCTCTCTGGCTCTGGTGAATTCTCTCACCCTCCCATGCCTCTGACTGTGCCCAGTGCTTCTATAGATATCTACATAGATAGATATCTAGATAGATAGATAGATCAATCTTTTTAAAAAAAAAAAAAAGAATATCCAGTCCTAAAGCAATAGGAATCAGGATGTATCAGAAACCCAAAAGGGACCTGAAAATAGAAATTATCTTTAAATCAAGAGTTAAGTAGGAATATACCTATGTTGTATTCTGAATAAACAACATCTCCAATGCAGAAGTTTATTATATGTACCCAGACACTGCCCTCTCAGGCAGCGTCCTACATTTCCTTTCCATTACCTCAGGAATATTATGGGATAATTGTGCATTCCTAGAATTAATATATCATGCAAGAAACAGGATGAAACAGTTACACTGGAAACTCCAGGAAATTTGTGATTAGCTGGTGGTGGTGGGACTGGGTAACAAACACATCCTGTGCAGTCTCACCTTGCTTTCTTCACTGACTGTCCTTCCCAGCACCTCCTGCATCTCCCTGCATTTCAGCTTGGAGGCTTCTGACAGACCAAGCATGCTTCTATCCTATAGAGTTGATCCTCGGGAAAGTTCTTTTGACTGATAGAAAGTGTTAATTGGTGGAGGAAATTCTATGGGGACTATACCTGAGGTGGGGGGGAGCAAACATTGTTTAAAAATGAACAATGATGTAAAGTATATATAAATAAATAAATAAATAAAAAGAAGGTGTTAACTAGTGAATGATTTTCATTTTATCCCAAATAATGACATATCACACTGCCTGAACAGAAGCTAGTCAAGGCCTTTGTAATGCTAGAGGAATGGGGTCTTAAATTCTCTCATGTGTTTGAGGGATTATCTAGGTTATTGAAGAAGTAAAATTATTTATTTAAAAATTGTTTTTTCTGCTTTTGGTTATTATTGTTGGTGGTACTCATTCTTTTTTTAAAAAATTATTTATTTATGCATATAAGAGCTGAGGTGCAGGCCAAAGATATGGGGGCAGGGTGAGAGGATTCACCAGAGACAGAGTGGGGAACAGAACAGGCAGATTGACTGAAATACACTGCTGAGGGGAGCAGTGGGCGAGACAGGAGAGGTCTGCTGCACCATGTGGGCAGCCCCCTGGTCAGGGATCGAAGTTGTGCTGCAGTGGATGTGGATAGCTTCATAAGTTGCGTCTTAACGCCCGTGCCACCAGGGAGGACCGGTGGTGCGCATTCTTTCATTAATTTTATCATTAGTCATTGCTTTCATTAATTTTAGGTTTATAATGCAATTCTTTTTTGAGCTTCTTTTGATTATTGGTGGATTCACTTTTATTTATTTTATTATTGCTTAAGAATAAATCTAAAATGAATACATTGAATATTATTTAGGTCATGTCCCAAAAGTTTTTTTTTAATTATGTTTCAATCTAGATAGTTTATTTCCTGCCACTGAAGTATTTAATGTTTGTTGCTATGTATGGTCACTATAATTTAAATTTTGATTTCCTTTTTCATTATATACCAGATTGGAGTCATTTGGAATATTTAATGCTAAAATTGCTTTTTGAATCCTACCAGTATTCTTAAATATCATAGAGTAATTTCATATTTGGTTGTATGGAAATTTATTTTTTAATAAGATCTCTACATTGATAAACAATATTACAAAATTGATAAATATGTTTTTCTGCAAATATAATTACATTGTTTCTGTATAAACTCTAATTATGTGTAAAACTTGAATTCAACTTAAAAAATATAGTTTTTGTTAGATTGAGTTTTTAATTCATAATCAAAATAGGGAAACAGTTGATAAAATTTGATTTGAAATTGATTCCACTGGGTAACAGATATTATTATATAGTATAAAAGTTTAGAATCTTACATTTATATTTACTGTGCAAATAATTCTCTTACATCTGTTTGTTTTAAACAAATTTATTGACTTTGATAAACCAGTTTATTTACACTTGAATGAGTAACACTGTTTTCCAAGAGCCATAAATGAAGGCAAATTGTAATTTCCTATTTTAAGTTTATCAGTGAGAGAAGTTCATTATATTTCACAAAGGGAGAATGAACATGCCAAATTAAGAAAATGAGGTATTGACCATATTCATATGGGTTTATTTCTCGGCTCTCATTCTAGTCCATTGGTCTGTGTGTCTGTTTTTATTTCAGTACTATGTTGATTTGATTATAATATTTTTATAGTGTAGTTTGATGTCTGGGTGAATGATGATACCTCCATTGTCCTTTTTTTCAGGATTACCTTGGCTATTTGGCACCTTTTTTGCTTTCATGTAAATTTCAGTAATATTTGGTCTGTCTCTTTTTTTTTTTTTTTAATAGAGGCATGTTTTTATTTATTTATTTATATGTTTGTTTGTTTTTGTTTTGTTTATACATGCACTGGGTACAGTCAGAAGCACGGGAGGGTGAGAGAATTCACCAGAGCCAGAGCGGGGAGCAGAGCAGGCAGAAGGACCCAAGTACACTGCTGAGGGGAGCAGCGGGTGGCAGGAGAGGTCTGCGCACCATGTGGGACCCTCCTCCTGTGGCCGGGGAGCAGCCGGGGATCGAACCGGCACCGCAGAAGCCACGGGCAGCTTCGCAACCCAGCGCTCAACCGCTGCGCCACCGGGGAGGCCCTGGTCTGTCTCTTTAAAAAATGCCATTGAAACTGATAGAGATTGCAAAATGAGCAAGCATTCATACTCCCCATTCTAAATTTCTTGAGGACACATCATTACTCCTGGTAAGGAGGTCAATTCCTTAATATGTTGGAAGAATCTTAAAAACAAGTGGTGAAAATTCCCATGCAAAATACATATATTCTTACATATTTTGCAGTTTTCTTTTCCAAATCCAGGAGGTCTAGATTTCTGTAATTGGGAAGAACAAGAAATCTTGTCTGGGAAAAACATACTGTATAACATGTCACATAATATTTAGTGTAGTCCCTTCAATATGTATGGAATATTTTCTTTGTGATGAGCTAAGAAAATAAAAATTGCTTGCCCTTAAGGAAAATTGCTTGCCCTACAGTTCAGTGAATCATGGGTCATGCTGATTTAGATGATGTATAATATGTTCTGATAAACATATTATATTGTGTATGATAAAAATATGCAATAACAAAAGAATAAGCAATGAATTCTGAGTCAGGGATCGAGGCAGAGTTAGGGAATGACTTTGAACTGATCCTTAAAGAATGGACAGGACTTTAATGTCTTTATCTTATTTAATTTAATTTAATTTACTTTTCTTTTACTTTTATCATTTTACAAAGAAAGAACACATACCAGATTTGTATTTGAAATAGATGGCAAAATCACAGAGATACAAAACAACCTCTAGCTCTACTTATTCTAATTAAAATTCTAACACAAGGACCTAGGTTCCAAAGTACTTGCTCTGGTGATCAGTGTTTGTGTCTTTCTCTGATAGAGTAGGCTGTGTCACTGTTGTCTTTAAAATAACTCAGAATTATTTTACAATTAGAATGTTATTTTTCCAAGTAGTGATTTTTTATGTTCACAGATGTTCATAGCTGTATAAAACATGTGACTCTAAAATTGAAGTTACACTTTTCCATGTTTCATAATTTGGGAATGATTATTAATGACAGCACTGGATAAAGGAGAATGATTTTCAACTTTGTGAATTAAGACCTTCAGGATGACTCAAGTCTATTGAGATGTGTATTCAATCTATATGTATATACACATTCATTTTCCAAGCCACAGACATATATGATTTTGGAATTGTGTTGCCTGAGTTCAAATCTCAGTTTCATCATTAAGTCAGATGGTGAAATTGGTTAAGCCACTT